TTTGCCGAGTCGGCGGCTACAATTAATTCAGTGCCTGCATCATGAATTAAGCTTAACTGCGGAAGAGGACGATGACGAGCGTTCAGTAGAAAGAGCTCAGTTTTTTAATTATTTATAAATTAGTTTAAGTATATTGGCTATCCTCCAACTATTGATATCAAGAATGCACGTTTTCACCTTAGATTTGGGGTATTCAGGTTCACCAGGACATGAGTGAAAGGACATATATATGTCTGGCTCTCATCGGCATTAAAATGATACGACATATGATGACGTTTGAGGACATCATTCAGTGGTGCGGTGTATATAGTTAATATAGGAGAGGACCAAGTACGGATCCTTGGGAACCCCGTAATGAGGAACATACGAACAGGTCGAGGACTCACTGTCAACACGTACAACCTGACTTCTATTCTCGAGATATGACGGATGCAGTGCAGTTTCAGTGCTATGGCCTGGTTTGTGCGCTGACTGTAGGAGCTCATGAGGGTCGTTATTTATAAGATTGCAATTCAGTCGATCAGCAGCAACCTTCTCAATAGCCTTGAAGATGAATCTTAAGTTAGAGATAGGTCTATAGCTCGATAGCAGCTCATTATCAAGCATAGGTTTCATGATTCTTGGTTCGACAGCTAACTGTTTAAGGATTTCAGGAACGCAAGCCTCATTAAATGACAAATTCACTATCCTAGTAATGGTAGGGAGAAGGGTGTGAATACAGCCTTTCATGATATTAACCTGGTATTGGATCTAATATAAAAGATTTAGCATAGGGTATTACTTAGAAGAGTTGATAGCTAGCTCATTTGTAGCTGGGCAGACAATTTTCTCATCGTTAGGGTTTAAGCCTGGGGAGCTAAGGCTGTTTCTGACAGTTTCTAGGTGGTGCACAAAGAAGTCCGCAAATTTATTTGCGAGGTCAACAGCATTGTCCTTCTAATGTAATTTTTTAGGTGCCAGGGGTTTAACATTTTGTCAAGAGTAAACAGGATCGCTTGATTTGACTTGTTTTCTTCTATGACCAAGGAGTAGAAGATCACCTTGGACTCATAAGTAAGGTTATTGACCAGATAGCATTAGTTTACGTAAAATTGTCTGCTTATAGTGGATCTGATCTTGCGCCATTGGTGTTCAGGTCTTCTCCTTTTCTTTTTTTCAGCCTTAATCTTTTCTGTGTACCATGCACAGCTGTTTCATGGGTGACAATACGCTTTTTAACCCTTTAAGCCCTAAAAGTGATCAACATCAATTTTCTCCTTGCAATGTTTATGCTTCACAAAACAGTTTGGTCACAAGAATTAAGGGATTGATCACACAAGATGAATTTAGTTGACACTCTAGAAACTTCTCCCTACTACTTCTATAAGAAGAGTATAGAGACAACAAATGAGAATTTAAATTTTGGCATTAGGGTTTAAAGGGTTAAGAGATGCATGCTGATCAAGTATTGACAAGAGGGTCCCATATTACAGGGATGTTAGATCAGTAAAGTTCTCAACGTACTTAGCATCTGTGAGAGATGAATTGCTAGTGTCCTCAACAAATCGCTCCGTGTCGATGGACTTCAATTTCCTGCAATTAATTTCCCTTCGGGGATAACATGGTTTTGTCATGGACATCATACAGAGCACAGCATAGTGATCGGAGATTGCTGGATCAGTCACGGATACATGTGAAATAAGATCAAGGTCGTCTGATCTATTGTAGTGATCACGAGGTCAAGGGTGTGACCACTGTGATGAGTCTCCTCTTTATGTGTTGTTCAGGGTTGAATGTGTCTAGCAAGTCAAGGAATTTGACTGCAACAAGGTCACTAGAAGAGTCTACATGAAAATGCAGGTAATTTCGCTAAAAGGAAGGCAGGGTGATATTTCGCTCACAGTTCATATGAAAAAGTGTTTAAAACTTCAAGACTCACAACTGGTTTATGCCTAAATTCGACAAAAAGGAAACCCATGATTCCTTTGTTGGCTTTCTTTGAGTTAATGCTGTCAACACTTTAGCTCAAAGCCTTTTACGGAATACTTCAATTTTGCTGTTTTCTGTACTGAGTAGTTTTATCCATGAGTAGCGGTGGTCAAAAACATGACAAATTAATTCAAGTGCTTCATCAATAACTTCACTAAAGCTCACCTACCTCTTCCCAGATACAGTTACACAGCAAGTTTCTGCAAGTGAAACCTCTGGTTTGTAGCCACTTTTCCCGCACATATATATACCCGTGTATGTGTATGAGCAAGGGAGCTCCGCCTCTCGTGGCTGACGATGAGTGATTGACAAATTTGTTAATAGACTACGCCCCTTTCTGCTCAGTCACAGGTCGCTGTATCCAGTTGCTATGATAACACGTCAATAATTCAGATATCATCAAAACAATTACTATTATTATTGTTTTAATTATTCACGCTTTTGTCGATTGTGCTAACAGGATTTTGACATAATTTAGCAAACAGAGCATGTTTTTAAGCGTTTATCTAAATTTAGCATTCCAAGCAAAATTTGGCATTTTTTGTTTTTAACCCGTTGCCAGGTTTTTTGGGGGCAAAACTTAACAAAACATAACATAATAACATAAAGAAAAAACCAAATGACTCAACACTTAACAAACACTTCCTGGAATTAATAACACGCATTTATTACGCTATACATTAAGTAACACCAGAATAGGCTTGGATAAATTCTGCTGCCTGCAGCCGAATTGAGAGCAGAAAGAGTTTTGAGGCGAGCATTCTGCATAATAAGGCATTTCCGAGCTGAATTTGAGCAGAATAAGAGTAAATTAGCGACACTAGTGATATGCAAAACAGTTGTAAGAAAAATTTAAAAGTGAATAAAAATTTTGAAAAGCAAGGAATAGAGTAAAATTACAGTAAATGTAAGAAGGAAATCCAGGGGAAATCGACTTTGGTTCGAGTTAGCGCGAGGTTCGAGTTAGCGGGAGTCAACTGTGATTTAGATTGGATCTTATCTTTATCAATCTTTTTCTCTTTACTATGCAATGTTAAACTACCCAAATCTAATGCTGTTCGTTTAAGGTGTGTAAAAGAAGTTCTTTGTGAATAAGTCAAAATAACGATGCTGACTATGAAAGAAATTTGCTCTTTAACTGACTCAAGTGCCCTTTTGTTCATAACCCACTGCTAATTACTCATAAAAGGCAACATATGTTTGTTGCAAAAGTAACAGCTGCTGTAATTGTTTATTAGTCAGTGTTATGACTTCACTTGCTTCTATGTCCTCATGATCATCACTCCCGACTCCCCCAAGAATTTCTACAGGTCAGTTAAAGTGCCTATAACCTAATATTTGTTTTTCATTTTCTTATCTGAACTGAACACATTACTACAACAACTTCTGCAATAAAATTTTGCGATTTGATTAAAACAGGATTTTTATCTACGAATTTTTCTATTTTTCTTTCGCACGTCCGTTCCACTGATCTAGAAATCTGACAGGCTCACCCGTGACGGCATGTGATGTAAATAGCGCTTTCCACTACAGTGGAACCCCGCCTTACAGCCAACTCGGTAATACAGTCACCTCGTTTTTACGGCCACTCTTTTTGGACCGGCAAAACAGCCATACATTTCCTTATAAAAAAAACGTTAATGCTGTCACGCGTTAATACGGCCAATGGCCACATTTTAAAATCCCAAACAGTAGAATCTCAGATAATTTCACCTCGTTAATAGGGCCACTTGTTCGAAATTTAGAAAGTTAAAATGCCTGTGACTTGTCAATTTTATTGAACTAGTACTCTGAGTCTGTTCTTGTACTGTTTTTAGACTACAGTAAACATAAGTGCACTTTAAAGTTACATGCGTGAACTGAAAGCTCCATTATTGCCAACGAGATAACCGAGATAAGAAGCGAGGTTGTCGATCTAACAAATACCCACAAGGGTTTTTCAAAAAACCATAATTTCCTGCCGTTTACAACATCTTGAATTCCAAAAAGCAACGCACGCATGCGGATTCTGTTTTGTCTAGGAGTCCCCACCCGTGCGCCTCGGATACATCACCGAAATGAATTGACGGAGAAGGCCTGGTTAACGTCCTACAGGGACGAGGTAAATGTTTTCACAGGAGCTGATTTGGGGCGGAGAAATCTGTTATACAAATATCGTGGTTTCTGGACTTATTTTGAAGATGAGAAGTGAAGGTACGCTTGTTGAGATATGACGTATTTCATTGCGTTTTCATTCAGTTATACGGCAACATTTTTTCAAACTTGAATACGCGCAACTTGTCTCACTAAGCTGTCAAAGCAGACCACGACGCAGCCTAGCATTTCCTTTACCATCGAGGACTATCGACAAATCATAATCATAGTCGCGACGCAAGATTCCGAAAAATGGTTATATTTGTGTGCTTATTGGCTGCGAAGTATATTCTATTTTTACTCTTACTCACTTTCGGAAAACTAACTCGATGGCAAAAATGACTACTCGCGCTAGCGCAGTAGTTACGAAAATAATAACATCTCTTGCCGTTAAAGGAACTTTAGCTACTGGCCACAACTTCTTTAACTAATAAAGCAGTTATATATTTGGTTATTTCAGGTAGCGTCTGTTCAGTGTTTAGTGTGATACTTAGTGTATAACGTAGTAGGTGTGTTGTTGTTTTTTTCAGTAAATGTGTTGTTAATTCCAAGTAGCGTTTGTCAAGTGTTAAGTCATGTTTTGCGTTGATGAAAAGATATTTCGCGTTGTGTAACGACCGTCGTAGAATCCAGGATTTGTTTCTTCATGTTATTATATGTCATGTTTCTTTTTTCTCAACTCATCTTTTTTAAATGTTCCGCAAAAAAAGCGTTAATAGTAAGAAAACCTAACAACATGTTAAAAACAAAAAAATGCCAGATTTTGCTAGCAGAGCTAAGTTTAGACAAAAGGTAAAAAATATGCTATGCTTGCTAAATTATAACAAAAATTTTGTCAGTACAATAGACAAAACGTGAATTATGAAAGCAATAATAATAGTTATTGTTTTGATGATAGTAATTTGGGGCCATTGACTCTTTTATTATCATAGCAACTCGATACAGCTACGTGCGTTGAGGGACTGAGCAGAAAGGGGGCGTAGTCTATTAACGAATGTGTCAATCACTCACGGCCACCAACGAGAGGCGGAGCTCCATTCTTACACATTGAGGGGAAAATGGCTATAAACCAGAGGGTTCACTTGCAGAAACTTGCTGTGGAACGTCTGTAAAGATTTACCTAAACTATACGTGGGAAGAGGTAGGTGTGATTCAGTGAAGTTGTTGAAGACCGCCGCTACTCACTGAGGAGAATAAAACTGCTCACTGCAAGAAAGAAATTCAACCTAACCTTATTATACGAACATTTTCTGAAAAGAATAATAATAATTAGTAAAATCCAACTAGTGGTCTATTCTGATTGGTGGAGCTACTACTATGCTATATGTTATAGCCCACTAGCAGCGAAAAGCGTGGGCTTTTAGGCGGCAAAAAAGGATTAAATTCTAGCTTTAACTAACTAAAAGTTTTTTATTCTCGATATTTCTGACCAACTAGTTGGATTTTACTAAAACAATTATTCCTCTCGCCCTCATGGCCCTCAGTCAAAAGCCCATTCGGGCTCGAGGAATAATTGTTAAACATGAAATTTTACATTGACGGTCCTCCTAGTTTGCAAATAAATGAGACGTAAAAAAATTAACAAAATTTTTTCTTAAAGAAAAGGCTTCTAAAAAATGTTTTATCAATCGAACAAAAACACCGTTGACCTGTCAAAACCTATTCTTAAACGAAAAAAAAGTTTTCTTACCAAAAAAGGACCAAACTGCGGTCCATGTTACCATTTCAAGGAGCAATGAGCGAAACGAGTCACAAGCAACAAAATTTAATTTTTACCAATTTCATTTCCGTAAAATTATCAATTATCCATTACGTCGCGTTGAAGTGAGATCTAAAGTTCGATTACCAGCGAGAGACTTTCCCATTTTTTATTGCCAATTGGCGGTTTCTACTTTTTTGGCTATAAAACCTTCGGTTTGGTATTATTGCTACGAAAGATTGCGGAATTTTCTTATTCTTTGATTTGTGTTTTACGTTCTCGTTCTTGTTTTTGTGAGCTTGCGAAGCACGAAAACAATTGGTGCTCCGACTGCGCCACATTGCAAAAGTTGGTGGAAGAAAATCTTTGGACGTGGGCCTGTCATTCATGCAAGAGTGCCGACGGAAAGGGCTTTGGAGTGGGAAAAATGGCCGTATGGTCCTATTGTGGATGGTTGGCAATTGTGGCGATGTTTTTCTTTTAGGGCACCTAACGACGGTTTCCTCCTAAATACATTGAAAACACTTTTAGGCTACCCAGAGTACTTTTATAACTCTAGAAAAGCATTCTAAGCGGCGCTGTAAAATTTACCTCTGTTCGGTCATCCTAGGGGAACTTGAGTCTTTTCGGGCTTGAGTAATATTTTCCCGAAAATTTTAGATGAAATTTAACGTATTACCGGAGTGAGACATTTTCTAATTCCTCTCTCCATCACATTTTTGAATCCGAAAAATTTAGGTTTCCTTTTTTCTATGAAAAATAGCCTAACCTGGGAAGTAAAATGCAAAAATTAAACTTCAGAAAATCGTAGGAAATTTTATTTGTAAGATAAGCTTCGAAAATTGTACATGATGGAGTGGTAATCTACAAAAATTTAGCCGTCCTCAAATAGAAAACTCTGGGCAGTATTTGCTTCTCCGAATAGATATTTTAAAGAAAACATTTGAAAAAATCTTTGAAAAGCTTTTCGTAAAACTCTTCGAAACCTTTTCCAAAAACACCTTCAAAACGCACTTCGAAAAACTTTTCGTCAGCCTTTTCGTAAACCCTTTTTTAAACGTCTTCGAAAAACTTTTCATAAAAAAATTCTGCACCCTCTTCGTAAAAATCTTCAGATCTCTCTTCGAAAACATCGTTGAAAACCCCTTTGAAAAAAGCGTCTAAAACCTTTTTGAAACAGGCTTCGATCCGCAACATCTCCAGAACATCATTCGAGAAGCGTTCGGCGGCCATGAAATGTACATTGTTACAATGCAAATCCCTAATTAGTTTTCGTTTCTGTGATAGACAAGCGCCCCGGTTCAATATGAGTTTTCCTGAAGAGTGTAGTATAGAAAATAGGAGTCCTGTCTAAACCACCCCTTTTTTGTCCCCGAGTACGCCTCCATTCTTCGAAAAAAGACTTCCTCGTAAACAAATTTGCTGGCCGAGCGGAGTGAGGACAGCAAAAATTTATTTACACGGAAGTCTTTTTTATCAGTGAAGAATGGAGGCTTGCTCGTAGACAAAAAGAGGGGTGTAACAGGACTCTATTTTTTATTTTACTACTGTGGCACTAAGGACATCGACATGCTGTCGATGGAAAGGATTACAGCGCAAAGTTAAAGAAGTGTCGGCATTAGCGAGGTTAACTTATATTCGGATCTGTTGATTGGGCAAGAAATAAGTGCCCGTTGTTTGAATCTAGAGAAAATTTAAGGGCTTTCCCCAGGGACAACGAAAACTGTCTGGGGTGTGGCTGTACTGCCGAGAACTACTACGATTATCTTCTTCACACGTACAAATCATCGTATACATGTGTATTGTCAGTAGTAGACGCAGACAGCTATCAATTCGCTTCTGGGGCCCGTTTTTCGAAAGGTTCGGTAACTTTTTGGGTCCGAATGCAAATTTTTAAATCAAAACCTATTGTATAATAGCACAGTTCCTAGCTTACAAACCGGCCAATTTTGCTTTGTTAACTGAAAATTTTATTGAATGCAAACACGGCAAACATAAAACAACTTTTCGTGACCGAAAAGTTATCGAGACTTTCGAGTAACGGGCCCCTGGATTGTCGTCATAAAGCAAAGTGGGCGCTGCGTCGACCACACGAGGGCCAGCTTTTCCTTCAGATCGCGTTACTTTCACCAGTTTTCTTTCCCATTTAGCAGCCTCGAGGAACTACTTTTTTGTTTTTTAGCCAAGTTACCTTAATGTACTCCATGTTGCTAGGTTACAGAAAATCATTTATGCTTTGTTCATGACATTTATTACTTTTTTACAGCAGAGAACCAAAACAAATTAATATACTTCCAACTCTGACAAGTCGATCAAAACACATCATTTCGCGAGAAGAAGCTCCGCTGTTTTTTAAAGGTATGTTGACTTGCAATTTATAAGATATTTCCAGCGTTTTTAGTTTACCATTTAACTTATCTAAAGGTATTGTAACGCCACGATTCCCAGTTAAAACACGGCGTTAAGAGAACAACACATGTTTAATCTACTACTCACTCGTCTTACAATCATTTCTTCGCACATGGTTATTACGCCATCTCACGTGACTTACTTAGAGGGGTACCCGCGGGGATTGCCTCGCGCTACACTACTCCCCCCCTACTTAAGCACTGTCCCAGTGCTGGTCCACTATTTCGCAGATCGTTTCCGAAAACAACTTCAATTAAACGCAACAGATCAAGTCTCAAATGTTCATTCATCAACGTGCCAAGCGTCTACAGTTCTTAGGTAATGAAAGGCATTAACTTATACTTGTCTAGTTGCCTAGACTGTCCTATAATGCTAATCAGTCCCTGAACATTTCAGGTTAATCAGTCACCCAAGTTCCGAATCGACTTGGTGGCTTCCGCTGCCTTGACGGTCTCCCACAAACACTTGAATAAATCCCAGGTAAACCTTGTACAGTCGACTCAGCTGTTTGACAGCCAACACCCGCCTGGTTAAGGTCATGTGCAACAGAGGTCGTCAATCTCGCACGAGGCTTAGGTTTCCTCACATCCTCAGGCTTGTCACCGCTATCATCCCCAATGAAATCAGCATTCTGGAGTCTCGGGGGAACATCATCCTTGTCTGCTTCCGTAGATTCCGTTTCGTCGCGCTCAGCTCCCTCTCTCACGTTAACCGGAGCTGACTGTCCCTCGTCGACGCAATTTGAATCCACAACCGATGTCTGTCTCCCCTCTCCTCTTGGGCTCGATAACCGCGTCTGCCTTTTCGGAATCCATCTCTCCAGTGGGGGTCCCAGGTAAGGCTTTAATCTGTCTGAGTGAACGACCTTAGGCTTGGCCTTTCGGCCCTTCTGAATACGGTACACCACATCCGATAGCACCGATATTACAAGGTAGGGTCCTTCCCAAGGACAGTCAAGTTTGGCGTTTCTCCCCTTCTTCCTCCGAACGTTATGCAGCCAAACAGAATCACCAATAACAAATGGTCTCCCAGAAAGCCGTTTGTCATAGTTCCGCTTCTGCCGTACAGCTGCCTTGTTCAAATGACGCCTGGCCAAATCATGCGCACTAGCCAATCTCTTTTGAACAGCTTGTGCATAGTCCGTCTTGAGTGGTGATGCATCAGGCGGTCTCTCAGTTATGACATCCAGGGGAACCTCCAGTTCCCTACCCAACATCAAGAGGTTAGGTGAAACCCCGGTTGACTCATGAACAGCACCACGATAGGCCATCATGCAAGTTGGAAGTTGTAGATCCCAGTCTGTCTGGTCTTGCTGGATCTTCCCACGTAACATTTCAATGAGGGTTCTGTTAAAACGCTCCACCTGTCCGTCAGACTGGGGATGCAGGGGAGTGGTGCGGGTCTTCTCAATGTCTAACAGCCTGCAGACTTCAGCAAACACCCTTGACTCAAAGTTAGTTCCTTGGTCGCTATGAAGCTGACGGGGTACACCGAAGCGACAAATGAACTCGCTCACAAGCTTCTCTGCAACAGTGGTGGCCTCCTGGTTGGGTATTGGATAACTCTCAGTCCATTTAGTGAAATAGTCACTAACCACGAGTATAAATTTGTTCTTTCGCGGGGTTTCTGGCAGTGGGCCAAGAATGTCAATCGCGATTCGTTCCATGGGAGCTCCCACCACGTACTGCTTTAACGGAGCACGACGTTTGCGTCCCCAGGTTTTCTTAGACCCACAGACATGGCACCTGGCGACCAATCTGTGAACTGCTGAAGTAAGTCCTGGCCAGTAATAACGAGATTGAAGGGCGCCTAGGGTCTTTCGTATACCACGATGACTTGCAGTCGTATGACTATGATGAGCTTCAAGGGCAGCCTGTCGAAGACTCTCGGGAAGAATGACCTGGTCAATAATCTGATCACCTCCGTCACTTTCCCATCTGCGGCAAAGTACACGGTTTCTGAAGAGCAGCCGGTCCCACTGTGACCACAAGGTCTTCACAGCACAACTCTGAGGCGACACATCTTCCCACAATGGTTTTTCTTTGCCGGCTTCCTTCCAACCAATAATAACCTTGAGATCAAAGTCAGCTTCCTGTTGTTCCCTCACGAAAGTTGAAGTCCAGGTTGGTTCTAACTTGACAGTGGCACAACGAGCACCAACAGGTTCTTCACAATTCACAGGTTGTTTGATGTCCTGGCAAGGGACATGCATCACGGTCTGAACACCCACATCAACAGATGACGCTCGCTCCTGTGACTTCCAACCCTTACACCACTTACAACGGACATCACATGGTCTACGGGAAAGTGCATCAGCATTCAGATGTCGCTGTCCTGGTCGATACTGGATCTCGAAGTCGAAAGTACTCAAGTAATCAATCCAACGTGCAAGCTGTCCCTCGGGATCTTTGGCCTGGACAACAAAACGCAAAGGGGCATGATCAGTTCGAATGCAGAATCTTGTACCTTGTAGGTAATGCCGGTGTTGCTTAACAAACTCAACGATTGCCAAGAGCTCACGACGCGTCACACAATAGTTCCTTTCAGACTTGGACAATGTCCGACTTGCAAACGCAATGGGTTTTTCGACCCCGTCCTGAAACTGTGACAACACTGCCCCAATGCCATGGTCTGACGCATCGGTGTCTAGCACAAACTTTCCCTCCCTAGTAGGGTAGGCTAGGACTCTACCGGACGTAAGTAAACCCTTCAGGCTGTCAAAAGCCAGCTGACATTGCTCTGTCCAAGCAAATTCCGCCTTGGCTTCCGTTAGCTTGTACAACGGCTTAGCTATGGTCGAGAAATCAGGGATGAACCGGCGGTAATAAGAGGCAAGTCCAAGGAAACTTTTGACCTCCGTGCTGTTTTCTGGGGTGGGCCAGGTGCGAACTTGCTCCACCTTTTCAGGGTCTGCAGCAATGCCTTCTTCCGTGACCACATGTCCGAGGTACGAAACCCGTTTCTGGAAGAGAAAACACTTCTTTGGCTTAAGTTTTAGTCCTGCCCTGGCTAGTCGCTCGAACACCTCTTTCAACCGCTCTAATTCCTCTTCAAACGTGCGTCCCATAACTATCACATCATCAAGATAGATCAAACAAATCTTCCAATGTAGGCCCTTCAAAACAAGTTCCATCAGTCTGGCAAAGGTGCTGGGTGCGTTGCAGAGGCCGAAAGGCATCACGGTCCACTCATACAGGCCGCTCGAAGTTACAAATGCTGCCTTCTCCTGGGTGCCCGCATCCATCGCCACTTGCCAATAACCTGAGGCAAGATCCAAAGTTGAGAACCATCGGGAACCACTCAAAGCAGCAAGAGAATCATCAACCCGAGGCAAGGGGAAGGCATCCTTTATCGTCACTGCGTTAAGCTGGCGGTAGTCCACGCACAGCCTTTGGCTACCGTCCTTTTTGGTTGCTAGCACAACCGGAAAAGACCAGGGGCTGGACGATTCCATCACCTTGCCCTGCTGTAGGAGGTTAGTGACTTGTCGTTCTATCTCATCATGTTTCCACGGTGAAGTTCGCCGGGGTTGAATTCGGATTGGAAGAGCATTGCCCGTATCGATTCTGTGCTGGACCATGTGCGTGGTGCCTAAGTCCCCGTCTGAAATTGAGAACACATGCTGGTAATTGAATAGCAACCCCTGCAGTCTCTCAGTTTCACTGTCAGTTAAATTATCTGTGCTTCTCTCAAGTAGTTCCTGCAAGGCCTTCGGTAGAGTCATATCGACTGCTCCTTGTGACACATGTTCATTTATTACTCTAGCTTGGCCCATAGCACCGTCATGGTTCTCTTGATTAAGCTCTAGTGAGGTGACATCAGTAACTGGCTTAGCAAGGGCAATCACAGTCTCAGCAGCCAAATGAAACACTTCATTAGAAACATTGAAAACACGTAAGGGGACCACCCTGTCCTCCGTAACATCAACCAGAGTCCTTGCAACATAAAGTCCCTTTTGTTGCAAATGTGAGTTCAGACATGGTTCTAACAATCGCGTGCCTAATTGAGACGACTGTGGGTCTAAGTTAAATGAACGCTTGTGAACAAGGACTGGGACAATCACCTCAGTGTTAGGTTCAATCATGGTTGACCGTCGAACCATACATCTGGAACTAAGGGGTTGGTTCTTGAAATCAGAACAATCAAACACTTCGCCATTAATTGACAGTTGGTTTGTCGCAATGTCAATACGGGAATCAACTTGTGACAGGAAGTCCATACCCAAAATGCCCTCATCCTCAATCTCGGCAACAATTACATGCATTTGAAACTCGCTGTTACCAAGGCGCATGACAACATGTCCCACACCAAAAGTTTTCGCTTGTTGACCATTAGCAAGAGCAATGGCAGAATTTTCTGAACTCAAACTGAACTTAACGCTAACAGGTAAAGAATTATAAACCTCGAACGACAAAACTGAACGTGCGGCACCAGTGTCTATCAACCACATGACACGAGATCCTCCAAGAAAGCCTGGCAAGTAAAGGCCTCGTGACTTTTCATTAACATGTGACTGTTCCATGGGTGTATTAGGACATGTCATTTCCTGGTTTGGCAATTGCTGAGAGAATGCATTGTTCACATCAGTACCACTTGTGGGGCCAACATCACTCGCATTTAGGCATCCCCCTGGCCCGTGGGCGACACCCTGCGGCCGTTTCCCGAGCCCGGGTTGGCTCGGTCAAGTGACTTGTACTTTGGGCAGTTACGACGATAATGGCCAAATTCTTTACAATTCCAGCATTGAACATTGCGGTTGGAGTAACGTGAAGGAGGTAATCGCTGTTGGCTACCAGAGGTGTTCAAAGAGAGCGACTTGGAGAGCTGCTGTATCTGCTCAACTAACTGTTGCATAGCAACTTGCTGAGTCTCCTGACGTTGTTGTTGCACTCGAATGTCAGAACGTAACATATCCAGCTGAGCTTTAAGCAAATCAGGCTCTTTATCAACTTCATCCACAGAGCGAACATGAAGAGGGCTTCTCCGCTCGTCTCCATCCACGAGACGAAACGCCTCAAGTTCACAAGCCAGCGACAGGGCGTCATCTAAGGTGCGAGGTTTATCTCTACGTAATTTAAGCCTGTCGTCTCGATCCTTGAGTGCATCAATGAAGTGCTGGACGGCAAATCTTTCTTGAGTGACCGGAGATAAGTCCTGATAAGCTAAACTTGACAGAGAGCGAATATCTGCAGCAAGAGCTTGAACACTTTCGTTTTCCAGTTGGCGACGGTTATGAAGGCGTACTTGGTGTAACTCACGCTGCTTTTCAACACCAAACCGAAGCTCCAATTTTTCAACAATTTTGGCGTAAGTTCGACAATCGCTATCAGACATACCATTAAGCACCTTTTGGGCTTCTCCTCGAAGGCCTGCAGCAAGAAATAGAGCGGCTTCTTCTTGGTTCCAACCATTAACAACAGAGCAACGCTCAAAGTGTTTCAAATAATCACGTAGCGACTGAGTACCATCATAATCCGCAGGATTTTTAATAGGCTTGCTTAACTTCGGGCGGTGTGTAAACAAATCAGTGGAGTAAGTATCCTGTTGACTCTCCGATGCGAACGGGTTTTTGGAGCGAAATCGGTGACTTGCACTGCTATCATGTACTGACGGATCCAGCGGCGATGCAAACAAGCTCGCTGATAGAAATCGCCGACCTGGACTCTCCACATGCATTGATGAGTCTACAGATGAAACAGACTTTGATGTAAATGGGTTTCCCGCTTTAAAAGGATTAGCTGGCGTTGAACAACTCATTCCTTTAAATCCTGAATCCACAAGTGAGTTTTCCGCCATTGCAAACGGGCGAGACCACGATAGCAAACACACGAAGAGACTTTGGATGAAAAACAACGGAGGGCGATGAAACTCAGTCACGCAAACCATGAAAATATCGCCATTGAACACATATATCCGTGAAGTTCGTCTTTGTTTACCGCTGCCACCAGTGTAACGCCACGATTCCCAGTTAAGACACGGCGTTAAGAGAACAACACATGTTTAATCTACTACTCACTCGTCTTACAATCATTTCTTCGCACATGGTTATTACGCCATCTCACGTGACTTACTTAGAGGGGTACCCGCGGGGATTGCCTCGCGCTACAGTATACAGATAACTAACAACCGTTGGCGAGTAAAATGGCTACCTTAATGGACCCCTAATGGTAAACTCCGACTTCCATTTCTTCTAGTCCGCGCGCAGAATCGCGCGCGCACTATAAAGTTTTTTTTTTTCTGAGCGTTTGATTTTTTTCTTTCATGGCGTATGGAAACCTCGTCTGCTTGTGGGGAGGACAGACTAATGGAAACCTTGCAACGTTTCTAACGTACTTGTAACTCCACTGATGAAGGGCCAGGCCTGAAATGTTTGGAGAGGAACTCAAACAATAGAAGGCACTTTGGTTCATTAAATGGCGCGAAGAAAAGTAAAGATCTGCACTTGGGTCTCCGAGGATGAATTGTGCGCCACTGTCTTGTTTTTCTGTCTCAACCAACTGGTCCAGTTCGATTAGCTGTACCCGTGAACTCTGAAAAATTTGACTCCAGAAGACCAAGTGGAAAGAAAAAACTGAAAAATCCTCCGAGGCCCTTCGGCCAAAAAAAAATCAAAACTCCGAGACCCAAAAGTCACCCGAAAAAGAGTTCAAGACCCATCACAAACACTTCAAATCCGAGATTTCGAGATTGGGTAAAATTTTCCGAGACCCACTTTCTCAAGGTACCATTCTATATCGTCTATACCCCTTTGCTGAAATTGTCGCTTTCCCTTGCAGACTCCTTGCACTCAACTTGCCGGTTTCTTACTTTTCCTCTCAGTGCCTGGCCTGTGACAAACATGGCCCTGCAATTCTCTCTTGACTTTTCTCAGTAAATCTATATCATCTCTGTTATTTAGACGACTGCCCGGTCTTTGAAAGCCCAACTGTCCAAACTTTAGATAAATAACTCAGTAAATAAAGATATGGTAGATATGACCGTCGTAGTGGTAATTGCAATTTAAGCAATTGCAAATTGTAGCCGTGAGACGAGAGACTACGATTTTTTTTCTTACTCTTTCTTTCGTGTTTTGAGTTGCGTGAAGTTAATTTGTTATTGCGTTTGGTGTAGTTTTTTTTTAGCCTTTTTGTTTTCATATGCGTATTCATTCTGTAATTCTACGAAGACCCATGCATTGGGAGCCAATTTGTTGAGTTCATCTTTACCCTTGAATGGGATGAAGCAATGAAGATTATGTGAACTGCAGAAATACAGATCTTAAATGAAGATATGATCGTGGCAGTGGTAATTGCAATTTTAGCAACGTCATGTTAGATGCCAAAATACCCATCAACTCATAGTACCTTCAACCTTATTGGCCCTTGCAACAGACATCCGAACATACAAAGCCACAAAGCCACAAAGATACATATACGCTCAGACCACTGACATACATGGAGAATTAAGCAGTAATGGAGAATTAAACAATTCAGAGAGAACCAGCATTACTTTCAGGAAGCCTCCCTTTTCAAGGAAAAGTAGATATTCTGTTTTTGACCAAATTTTCGAAAACATCTTGAAAAACTCCTAAAGACGGTTAAAAAGAAGGATCGTCGGCGGGTTGCCTCTTCCCTTTCCACTACCAAAGAGATGCCGCAGAGGAAATTCTTCTGTACAGAACTGGAGCTTTTAACACGAAACATTACTATTAGACAATAACCGTTCAAATTTCTCAACCATTTTATGTTGCAGTCAACCCAATGAGGCTTCGTCATTATTGGTTCATTGTTTGTCTTAGTAATGCCTGGATCGTTTTTGAGGCGGGCCATTCAGAAAAGGACACTAACGATTCAAGTCCAATGGAGTGCAAGGAAGGAAGTTTCATGTTGAACACGTGTGAAGAGCGTTGTGAATGCAAGAAAGGTAAACTAACCAGCTGTTACCGCGTGAGAAAGGATTTTACCAAAATGACCATCGAGGACAGAAAACGTTATATTAACACTTATAAGCTGGCATCGGTCCATCCTGTGGTTAAGAAACATTATGAGAAATTGATAGCTCTCCACAACACCGCTGGAGATCAAGCAAAAGTTCCTGAAGCCTTTTTGCCCTTTCACCGGTGGTTTTTGGTTGAGATGGAAAACGTACTGCGCAGAATCGACTGTCGTGTGACTTTACCCTACTGGGATTGGAGCAAAAACACTCATCATTGGTGGAGAGGAACTGGTGACGAAGACCTTTGGAACCCTGCTGATCATGGTTTAGGAGGAGATGGAAATTATACCGATGACAACTGTGTGGAGGACGGAGCTTTCAGCAAAGATAAATGGCGTCTCTTAGACGTGTCTGGAGGAGGGTGTTTAAGAAGGAAGTTTACGAAAGACAACCTTCTCTACGATATTGATCACGTGAAGAAAACTTTATCGCTGCCCCTGGAACAGTTCGAACAATTTGAAGAAACTGTCCGTGTAGACTATCACTTGTTGCCTCACAACGCAATCGGTGGTACAATGATGAATCCTCTAATAGCAGCAAATGCCCCAGAACTGCTTCTTCACCATTCATTTATGGACAAACTGTGGTATCAATGGCAAAACAAAGGAGATGAATACAAAAATGTCTACTTCCCAAGCGTGCCCTTCAAACTTTATGGATCAAAGTATTATGGCCGGGAATGGATTGATTCTAGTAACCTTCCGGGTCAGGTGAAAGTGCTTTACGAAGAATGAAAATAAATAAAAAACGATGAAGCAAACAGTTAAATAATCCGATGTATAGGCAGACATGAAACTCTCTGACATTAAATAATGTGCCGAAATCAGTTAATCCTGGACAATTGATTTTCGACCATTCCAGTAATACTGAGTTAGAACTTACATGTGTTATTTATGAGGACGTAGGACACACTTTATGAGGTACTATAAATGCTTAGCCATACGGCTAATTTGCAGCCGTTCCCACAAGTAGAATTAAGGTAAAAAATTATATGGCAATAATTAAAATTAAAGATAAATTACTACCTTCTAAGATTATAAATTACCTATGATATAATGCACCAGTCATTTGAAAGCCTCGGGAATGACCAGGGCATTCACCTTGTATGCAACTGAAAGCAAGTGAATTCTCGCCAAAGTGAATGGCATGAACTCCTCCGCCCCCCGTGTCCCACACACGATACTCCCTTTTTAAAAAAAGACAGACGGACTAAAAATCATGTTTTACAGTCTTCTGGAATCTTCTGGAATGACTCAATCAATACAAGTGTCTGTCTTGCTATTTTCACGACAAAACTGAATCGTAAGTTATTAAAAAATCGGGGGAAAATAGAGAAGTAGCCTGCGTAGCTGGCGGTATTGTGTGGGTGCGAGATTAAAGTTTTGGCGGCGGAGCCGTGTTCCAAAAAAAGGGAGTAGGGACGAGGCGGTTGAAATACCGCCTGCCAGAAAACCCCGGTATTTTGAATAGTCCGCACACCAGTGTGCGGGGAAACGGATTGGTCAAGGGACATACATATATTAAGACCCTGTTTACATGGAGTGGGGGACCCCGGTCCAGTGGGGTAAGTTTCTTTTGTTTTGTGTCCCCCAGAGCGTGAAAACAAAAGAAACTTACCCCACTAGACCGGGGTCCCCCACTCCATGTAAACAGGCCCTAAATGATCCTTCGCATATATTTCCCAATTAAGGGAGCAGATGGCAAACTGGAAAACGTAAGTGATTGTGGTTTCCCCTTTAAAACAGCATAATTGATGACCAAATAGCCGAAATGGCGTCTTTAAACTTCACAGCGCTGGAATTGTCTTTATTTAGCCGTAAGAAACAAAGGTCAAAGAAAATTAGAACACTTTACAACTGCATCTGAGATCAAATCCTATCAGGAACGCCTACAGAAGAATAAACCACAGGAAATGGTTACTTAGCTGAGAAAATAAAAAAAACCTCGGTTCAACCAAACTCACAAGGTCACGTTTCATATTATCACGAGCTTAGGAGTCGTGTTTAGCCTGTCAACGCTTATTTCTAAACTGTCTCGCGTGAAAATAATCGGAAGTTTCAAATTGCTGATTTAATTGGGATCAGCTAAGGTGACAAAAGTGGGCGGCATTCGAAAAATCATGGTTCTCTGGCAGGCGGTATTTCTCGCGGCTTCGCCGCTCGTGACGGCTCCGCCGTCAAATCTCACTCGAATATATTACAACGGCTCCACCGCCAAATCTCACTCGACTACTACACAATACCGCCAGCTACGCAGGTTAATAGAGAAGAAGATAAGACGCGTCTTATGAACTTGTTGTATTAATATAAATGGCACAGAAAACGTGTTCGCGTCTTAAACAAGACGTGACTCAACTAAGACACTCCTCACATGCTTGTATAAATGGTAAAGACAAACGTTTCTGTTTAAGACGTGTCTTATGTAACCGCGTCAAAAGGCAGTTTGCAAACCGTATTTCCTAGCTGCAAGAAGCGACGCGAAACTGAAAACGCTGACCACAAAGTAACTGCCCCACTTAAAGGCCCCGGTCAGGAATAAGGCGAAGATCGTGATTTCAAGCGTATCCTCCGCCTACCTGGAAACAAAAATGGAGTTCTAATTACTCGTTGAGACATTATTAATAAAACGATTAAACCACGCCGGCGCTCTTCCTAGCCTGCGACCAAGCTCTCCTGTTTGGGCGAGGGAACGGATCTCGCGAGAACGCGCGAGCGAGCGGCGAAATAGGAGAGCTTGCTCGCAGGCTACGCTCTTCCCTGTGAACAACTGTCTGCGGAAGATAACATGTCAGGCCTGGATTCACGCCTTTCTAAAGTGCTGTGTAAGCCTATCCACTTAAACAAAGTATGACTAGGATGTAGAATTGTCCTCGTAAATGAATCTAAGAGCGGACTTTTTCCAGTTTGCTAGTGTTTCTTGCCCCACAATGATGCCAGATTTGTCTGTAATAAAGAAAAGTTAGGCAAAATAAAGGAGCCTTATCATATGCAGTTCTCTGCATTGTGAGACTCGTTACCTTATAGCAGTCCTAGCTAGACTACGAGTAGTCCCCAAATTTTTCCTCAGGGATAGTAGAGCGAGCAAAACGCGAGCGCGCGTGAAAATCAACCCACGCGAGAAAAGGCAACACGCGGCGGCTCATTTTTCTCTCTCCCCGCCGCGTGTCGCCTTTTCTGGCGTGGGGTGATGTTCACGCGCGCTCGCGTTTCGCTTGCGCTACTATCCCTGAGGAAAAATGGGGGACTACTCGTAGTCTAGTCCTAGCACGCCCGACTGCTCAGGTGCCCCGTTGAGCGGGGAACTTTTCCGGGGGGCCAGGTTCAATTCCTGGGCGATTTTGGCGTACTGGTGTACCCTACTTCAGGCGTTGCTCGACAAAGCCCTTGCACTCCAGCTCTGTTAAGTATCGTGATGTCGTCTGGCCGTTGCACTGACCATTGCACTACCGGGTCCGTGGCTGGGGGCGCCTGAAAAAAAAATAGTGCTAGACCCTTCCGAATTATTAATTTAGATATTTACCGTCTTTTTAGCTATTTCTCGTTTAGAGGAGTCGAACGCAGAGTATAATATGTAATCGAGGGTTTTTTTTACAGTATCATGTTAACACAGAAAGACTGTCCAACTTTTTAAGTAGATAAAATCGAGGTTTTTTATCACCGACGAATCAGATGAGCGCTGAAGAGGCGAGCCATTTGGGGGTTTGGGGCATGCTTCCCCAGTCAATTTTGAAATCTTGATGCTCTGAAACGCCATTTCTAGTTTTCTGAGAGAACAAATTCTGACTAAAATGTTCTCTAAATCGATTGTCATTTTTATGCTTATTTTTATTTGCGTGACTTCTTGTAGAAGTACCCGAGTTTATTTTATATTTCTTGCCGTTTTTGAAAGTTTTCTGGATATCAGTTTCAGTTAAGTATTGGCTCTGTCATGTTTGGTGTCATTCATGGTATGGTAAAGAACTCATTTGAAAATTTAACAACAGATGTCAAAATCGTGATCGATTTTTCCTATCCCGATCGCATATTGATCGGGATTCGGGATTTTCAAGCAAAATCGGACGAATCCCGACGAGTTCTTCATACTCCGACGATTAGCAAACGTGCCAGAATGTTTGTACTGCAGATGAAAAGTAAAGTGTTCTTCATCTGTTCTTTCGTTCAATCTAACAAATGGGTCAATTCACGGCATAAAAATAGAAAGTGACAGGAGCCCATCAAATTTGATGGGCTCCTGAAAGTGACTAAGTTGGGATCGCGAAAATTACATATTTAGCAAAAAGGGACTAAGATGGGGTCTATAACTGGCCACTATATTGGGGCTGGGGCTCTGAGAGACCAGCGTCACATACCCATCAACACACACTTTATTTTTCTCCTCCCCTCGTCTCGCGCTTCGCACTCGTTTCGCGCTTCTCGCAAAATGCCGCGTTCGCCTCGCTTGGCTCATAAAGCGCCTGTTCATGCAGGTTACATTTATGGGAGCAAACGGAAGCAAATTTCTGAGAATTTTTCTTATTTTCGAACTTCAGTGAACTATTTCATGGGTCCCATTTGTTTGAACGTCCCTCCCGTCTGAACCCAGTCGGTTTCCCTTGTTCCCCGGGTTTTCTTCCAAATACTCGCCTCTCGGGGAGGCTCTCGGGGAACGAGTAGGAAGAACTTGAACCCTGGAACGAGTCACGACAAACGACAGAGGACGACAGAACGACAGAACGACAGAGTAGTCTCAGAAAAATTTACAGACTCAAGCTCCTTTCAGTTCTTGTCCAAACACAAATGGAACTACCGCTTAACAATCATGAGCAGAAAAATCGATCATCTAGCTTTTCGTTCGCAGACGTAAACGACTGCAGTAAGTTATGGAATGAAGATGAAGATGTCAAAATGGACCTTTACACAGCCTGTGCTATTGGCCAATATAGTTGCGTTCAGCAGCATCTAGCGGATGGAGTGGAGATCGCTGATCTCGATAAACACAATTTTAGTGGCTGGACTCCTCTTATGTACGCTGCTTATGTTGGACATGTTAATATAGTAAATCTCTTGCTCGATAACTCTGTTAACGTCAATTCGCGCACAAAGAAAAATGGTGCGACCCCTTTGATGTTGGCATCGAGCTGCGGCAATGAACCTGTTGTGTATTTTTTGCTACAAAATGGCGCCAAGATCGATGCTCAGGACAACAGAGGTTGGACGAGTCTTCTTTACGCCACGTTTCATGGGCATTTGGAAGTCGTGAAGACGTTGCTAGATGCTGGTGCTAATACAGAGTTGAGGTACAACTTAAGGCTGCTTTTCACCAGCGACGGAGTGGGAGTCGTAATCAGAAGCGTAGAACTTTACGATCTAGTAAAAACAGCGCTCTGATTCTTCTGATTCCGCCTACGACTCCGTTGTTTACGATCAAGTGAGAACTGGGTCGTCGGATTCGCAAGCAGAAGCAGAAGAGCTAAACCAGTCACAAAACGTGGGAACATGCATTATGCTTTTTTTATCCTTCTGCTTCTATTTCCGACTCCGACGATGGTTTTCATTCGTCATTTTGCTCGTGCATTCAGTTTTTTCCTTTATAAAGCGATGGCCCCTAAAAGTAATGAAAGCCATTACTGTTTTGTATACTTTAATATCCAGTTACAAAATTAATTTCAACTACCCCAACAAAGTGTAAATTATCAAAGGCTATATACTTCCTAGTAATTGGCTAATGGAGATGTGCATTTTTGGAATTAACATCTTCTCATTGGGTATAATAACCCTAGTTTTTATTTGTTGGCAAATCGAAGATGGATTAAAATATTGTCACCATTTCCTTTCCATCCTAGATTTTGCCAACTAATGAAAACTAAAAATTCATAGACAGTCCAGATTGTCAGGATACTGTACATCAGAAAACCTGGCCCTGGTTGTTCAAACACTGGATAGCGCTATCCACCGGATAAATCACTATCCAATGGATAAGTATTAGGGAAACCAATTGTGCTATCCATTGGATAGATTTTTATCCTGTGGAAAGCACTATCCAATGTTTGAACAACCGCGGCCAGGAGTATTTCTAGTCACCACACATGTTAAGATTTCCGCAATTGTTGGGGATAATTTCCAACTTATGAAAACTCAAATTTTTACCACTGCCAACACAATTTTCAATCTGTAGTTCAAAACAAATGCCCAAACATTCACAATTTTTTATTGGCTTTGAGGCAAGCATTATGAATCATCTGGCAATGAGTGATTGTTAATTTGTATTCACCCCAGAATAAGCCCTTCCGTGAAGAAACACATTTTCAACAATCAAGTCAAAATTGAAAGAAACAGCACTAAGTCTAAAGGTAGCCTGAGAAAACAGCCAACATTTCACGACACCACCATAGGTTTGCGCAGAAATTCCATACAATTGACATGTTATGGAAACAGACCATTTAAACACAAGTCGTTTCAATACGACCTCAAGCACTGAAATAACACAAAAATTTTGATCACTTCAAGTGCAGTTTGCGCATGAAAAAGGAAAACATTTGGGGCGACTATTCTTCATTCTTTAAGCCAAGGGTGTGAAACTATTTACATCTTGACTTAATCAACTTGTGTCAAAATGCGTTGTATTGAAACGACGGGCAATCCGTGTTACTACCCAGATCTAGGTAGTGCTTTTGATTTTCTGAAGCAGTTTTCCTTGCTGCATGACCAATCAAAAGCAAGTGCGGATCTAGGATAAGTACTGACCAATTTCCTAGCCTCCAGGGGGACCAGAGAGCATGGACCATCAGGAAATTTTTTGGATTTAAACTCCCTGAAGTCCCCTTTCCTGGGTTTGTGAGTCATTCAGACAGGATATTGGCCAGATTTCAACGTCGAAAATATTTTTTATTTAAAGTATATTTGTTTATGAAAAATCTGACAATTTTTGTAAAACAGTGGAAACCGGTGTGGATCCACCCCTGAGTTCAAGCACTACCCAGATCTTTGTAGTGACACATGACTTATTAGTATGGAATTTTTGCACTTGTTTCTCAGATGTCATTTCATGGGGAAACCAGGGGCAGAAACAAAAATGTGATCTTATAGAATGAATCTAGACAGCATTTATAAGACTAACTCCTTGTCACCTCAAACTGCATTGATTTCATTTTAATGCCTTTTATGTCCTTTTCTTTTGCTCATTAATGTAGCGAATATAAAATGGGCCTAACTCCACTTTTGGCTGCTGCTAAAGAAGGCCATGAAAGTATATTTGAAGTGCTTCTTAGATCTAATGTGAAACTGGTGAGAGCTAGGACAAAAACTAGCGAGGATGCACGGTCTTTAGCTCTTCGTCATGGAAACATGGCAGTTGTTAATAGAATCGATTTACAGCAACACCAGCAGCAAAATCATTTGCTTCGAAGTGAACCTGGTCTTTCACCAGATGACACTGATCTTTATGGTAACGGTCTAGATGAGGAAGGTGGTTATTGGCACCAAGCAAAGAATAACATTTCAATGAGTGGGATCCGCGATGGCCCAAAGGCTTTTGAAGAGATAATAAACAACCATCGTAAGGGACCGATGAACATTCCTTCCTTGCCAGGAAGACAGCAGCATCATGCACATGTTACAGGAAGTCCATGCAATCTCTCTGTCTCAAAGTCACCTGAAGGCCCTGTCGGTAGTTCAGAGGAGCATTTCTTTAGTAAGTTTGGTGCAACAGTTCGAAGTGCCAGTTTGCACGAGCAATTACCAAAAATGAACAGTCAAGGTGATAAAAATGCACAGAATCATGGCAATACCGTACCAACTATTAGTAGCTTTCTTGAAGACCTAAAATTAACACAGTACCTCCCAACATTTGAAAAACAGGATGTGGATTTTAATACATTGCTCAATTTTACGGAAAATGATCTGAAGGAAGTTGGGATTACTTTGTTTGGTCCCAGAAGGAAAATATCAACAGCACTTTCTCGTTGGAAAGAAAACAGCCACACTGCTACTTATAACAAGGAGACCAAGAAAACAAAATCACAGCTTCATCAAGCAGAAGTGCAGCTTCATGAGACAAAACCTCAAGTTCAGCAGCTTCAAGCTCAGCTGACTCAAGAGAATGAGCTGCGTCTTTTTGTTGAAGGATGTCTTTTAGAGGAGAAGGCAAAACGACAGGAGATCTTCAACAGAGTTCACAAGCAACAAGAAGATTGGAAACATGTGAAAGGTGAATTAGAAACATTGCAGGCCTTAAGTCAAGACTTGACAAAATACTTGAACTTACAAGAAGGCCAGGTTAAAGAAGTGCATGATAAACTACAGACCTGCATCATAAATTTGGGAATTTTTGTGCACCAAGGGACCACTGAAACTAACAGTATATTAATCGAGAATGAGAGCACGCAATATGAGAATTCCTTTGAATCTTCGGGGGGTTCAAGTTCCTAACTCAGCTCTCAGGTGGTCCATGTCCCTTCAAAGTTACTCTGAGGACAAGGAGGATCATTGTAAAACTATCTTATTAAAATCAGACTATGAAAGGCTAAGCCCTTAAAGCCTGAAAGATCAAAGTTGCCCTTGATTTATCTGAGAACACAAAATCATTCCCTCTGTGAAAACAAACATGGGATGTTGATTGCTAACACTAAAGAGTTTTTTCTTTAAAGGAACATAAATATTTTATTGAATGAGGCTTTCTTATGATGTGAAGAATTGTGCAGATCTCGAAGACTGTCATTTACCGAGGCAAAGGCCATTCAAAATATTTCCTAACAAGCTTACCTGCTCATAGACTTTCTTTTAAATTTTGGCCTATTTCTTGGCACGGTTTCAGGATACAAACAGATGATTTTTCGTGCAGATACTTGTCAAAAAGTCTAGATATTATCCATTGAGCAATATGTTTTAGGAATTCAGCTATTTTGTCTTCATATAGCCATGAACACCATTTTTCTAGTTCACTGATGAATAAACAGCTAGCTAGGCGGCCATATCTGAAAATGAGGTTAATTGATGGTCTATTGCACATGCAGCCTTAATTGTTCCAATCAAATGTACCAATGAGCAACCTCATTTCCAATCAAATATACCATCAAATCGATGGTATACTGCTTGCAACTTCCAAATTTGGTCAGTGCTAGTTGGCATTAGCCAGGTTGGAATTAGCCAAGGAGTTAGAGCCAGTCAGTATTATTTCAAAATAATATTTTTTATCTTTGTCACATTAGACATATACCCGGTAATAATTATACAGTTATTGTAGAATCTTAGTATCTAAGCCTAGTATGTTTCTTGTTTACGGACAAACCATGGACTCGCACAAAAAACCTGTGGCTCCTCACTTAAGCAGTCAATCAAATGAGACCTCATTTACGTTATCATAACACATCACTTAAGGAGCCTTTTCACATGATGTCACATCTGCCATATTGGTGTCCTAAAACAAAGAAACGGCGGCCATGTTGGTGTCCCAAACCATTCCTGTTTCCTGTTGTTCCAATTGCATAGCTGCTGGTCCGTCACGTGAGTGAAAACGCTCTATAGCTTAAGTTTACTGCAAAAGTATTCTAAAGTGGGTTATTCCAGAAAAAAATCCCCCCAATGGAAGGCATGTTTTTTTCAACCCCGGCCCACCGCTTCCACCCAGAGTTACAAAACTGCTTTAGCCTCCTGTGACATTTCCGAGCTTGCCTTGCATTGTTAGGGTGTGGATTTTTTCTGGAATAACCCAATAGGACTTAGCTAACTGCAACCTGACATGTGCAGAATGTTTGTGCAAGATGCGATAATGTAGAATATGTCTTTTTTTTTTCCTTTTCTATTATCACTAGTTACTTTATATATAATTGTGACATCATGGTTAAGGAATTCTAGAAATAAATTCCTAGGGCAGAGTTGTCACTAAGATTTCAAGTTGCGGGGTAAATACAACAAGTAGGCGAGGAATCAAACAGCTAGGAATTTCTTTTGGTTCTATTTTTCTTTTATTTTCCTTTGAAAGTAGCCGGGGAAGACCTTCATAGTAGCCAGGGGAAATCCCCGGCCCCCGCCTCTTAATAACAGCCCTGTATATAAAACAAGTTGTGGAGAAAATAAACAGTTGTGGATTTTTTTTTTTTTTTTTTTTTTTTTTTTTTTCTTGGAAAGGGGGCGGGGGAAACCTTCAATGGGGCGCGGGGGAACCCCCCGGCCCCGCCCTTTAAAAACACGCTTTGAAGGGGGGGGGGGGGGGGGGGCATTACTCAACAAAGTTTTAAACAGGGAGGCTCTGTCCCGAGGTACCACTATCAAGCACATACTTTAAAACGCTGCATCCCTTTTATAATAATAATAATAATAATAATAATGGTTTATTAACAGTGTATCCACCTAGTGGCTCTTCACCTGTTAAAAACTACAATATACTACAAAAAAAAATTGAAATCTACAATATAAAAAGCAATAATATCAGACTATATAAGGATACGAATTCTTATAAAACTGCTGTAAGTTCACCATCTTTTGAATTTGAATAAATCAATACCAAGGGAGTTATTTCTCTTTCGCAGCCATGAAAATATTTATTATGTGTCTGTTAGCCCTGGATTTGCACAATCTTGAAAAGTCCTTGAAATTTTTAGGGTAATTCCTTGAAAAGTCCTTACATTTCTGTGCAAGTTCTTGAAAAGTCCTTGAATTTTCTTCAACTTTGAATGAAGTAGCCTGAAAAGTGTTTGTTAAATGCTTTTTGGTTGTCCAAGACAATCATAGCTCAGAAAACTTAACTTAAAGGTGATTTACATAAGGCATTCTTCGTTTTATGCAAATATAATCAACTATTGACTGAAGACAAGTGTACTGAAAAATGTAGAGAAGTGGACTGGGAATGAGCATTTTTGAACAATTTGTGACATTATGTTCCTGGTGGATGGTCCTTGAAAAGTCCTTTAAAAATGGTTGCAATTTTTTGTACGAACCCTGTAGCCGTTTTGGGGACTTAAATAGACCAAAAAGGTAGATTTCCCTACCCTTTTCATCTACTTCAACCAGTGAAATCCTTACCCTCTCGTATAGTAACTTGAAGCCTAAAAAAGTACCCTTTTCAGGTGGAGCCTCCCCATATAAGCCATCATAGGAAGTAACCCCGGGGGGATAAACTGCAACTTAACTGTTTGAAAGAAGTCTGGAATTCACTTTCCCCTGTGATTTGTAGGAAGAGTACTGTTAGTGTGGAAGCAAGGGAAGCCTGTGGTTTTGAGCAGTTGTCAATCATCACAAGTTCAACTTAATCCAATTTAAAATCACACAGTTTTTTACCCGATTACCGATTAGCAGTTTTCTCATTGCATAGTATTACCAAGTATTTCATCTTTGTAATAAATGATAATTTTTTATCTTTTTTATAGCTTTTTTGACAGAATTAAAGATTTATATTTTCTTATTTTGTTTCGGTAATGTGGGTCATTTTAAAACTTATTTTATAAGCCTTATCATTTTAGTCTATATACGCAGTTCTAATACCCTAAGGTCTGAATGCACTAGGCAACATTTGTTGTAGTTTTAACTAGCCCTTATTACAGCAAATAAACATTGCTTCAATATTTTTAACATGTCATGGTGATGGGCAACAAGTTGAAGCAACATGCTGTGGTGACAAATCATTTCCTGTGTACTCGATAATTTTTGCGAAAAACAGAACAGCAGAAAATTTTTTTGGCCGCAACAGGTCAAACAAATTCAATCTGATATAATTTTTTGCGACTTGTTGCAGTGAGAAAATTCTGTTGTCAAGGTTTTTCACAGAAATTCACCATTACACAGGTAGTGATTTGTCCCTTTGACATGTCGCAAACGCCATTTCAACTAGCCCCAATTGATTTCACAGTTTTTCTGTAAATTTTATTTGAATTCCTCAAAAAAAACTTCACTAGCCTGATAACAATCCACTAGCCAGGGGTTACTGGACTCTACTTTCTTTGCAAGCAGGGAGTAATACTTTCATAACTTAACAGTAAATGTGTAGATCTTTATTTTTAACTCAAGGGTTTGAAACCTGTTGTCAGTTATTATTAAAAGATGATAATCAGTTGATAGACAAAATCACAATGCACTGTAGATTTTTTAACTATTCGTGAATGACTATAAGAATATACTCATGGAAAATTTAAGGCACTTTGTATTCAAATGAAAACCAAGGATCAATTTATTAATAAAAATCATCCTCATAAAATGTAAAGACCTATTCCATGAGAGCTATTCCTGTTTTTTTTTTCCAGAATTAATACATTCCATCTAATTTTTTCATTTCTCCCCCAATAATTTCACAGATAAGATTCCTGCAAATTGATTTTAAAAACTCAGTAAAAGTACATATTTTAATTCCAACTCTGCACCCAAGGGCATGAAGTCTGTGTAATGGAATATCAAAGCAGCAACTGCAGAAATCAAATCTTCCTTCTCGTTTATGCACAGATAGCCACCTGCTTGTGTTTCTACGATCTCACTGATCTTCTTGGTTTCTTTGTTTCCATGTATTGTGAAGAACAAGAACATCCAAAACACAATAAATACACTATTTTATAATATTATTATTTTTATGTCTTTGAAAACTGCTCGACGATCTGCTGTATTGTAACTGCAATACCAACAAGTCCACCAATGACACCAAATGCAATAAATAAGCAGTCCTTAACTTTAGTCCGTGTTGTGATTACGTCTCTGCAGATTATCATGTGAAATGCACAAGGTAGAATGAAACCAAGAGTTGAACTTCCCATGGAACCAACAATAGCACTGACATATGCAAAGTCATCTTTCAGAGCAATAGCAATGCCAGCAGTAGACAACACAAGAAAAGTGCGAAGTAGGTTCTTTTTCCATTGCCGAAGCTGCAAAGAGTCAAAAGATAACTTTTTAAATAGGTTTAAAAGATGATAATAACAAAATAACAATCAATTTTATTTGAATTTACCAAACAGCACTGCATGAAGGAAGCTCATGTCAATACAGTACATTTTTCACTCCAAGATTAACATGTATGTAAATCAAAATCAAAACCATTCCTTAAAATAATGAAGTCAAGAATCTGATTAAGATACAGTAAGATTAAACAGTCCCTTCAAGATTCAGGTCTGAGTAGTTTCTTATATATATACACGACTGAGATATTCAGAAGAAGTATTTCTTTAACATAAATGTAACTAATAAGTTAATTATTTGTTTGTTTTCTTGTGTTATTATCTTCTCCACTTCTCCCCTCCCCTTGATTGGTTTAAGCTGACTGAAGTTGCTTAAGTACTGTAAAATTCTGAAAATAAGCCGCAGGGCCTATACTCAGAGGGGCTTATCTATGGAGGGAAATTATGCGTTTCAAAATCAATTGGGCTAGCCTTATAGTTGGAAGGAAATTTACTGTTTTACTTTGTTTTACCTTGTATTTGAGGGCAATTTCCCCTGGGGGGGGGGGGGGTTTTAATAAATGCCGCGGGCCTAATATGGGGGGGGTTTTTGTTAGGGGGGAATTTTTGGTTTTAAAAATTAATTGTGGCATCCTTTAGTTGGGGAGAAATTTTTTTTTTTTTTTTTTTTTTACTTTTTTTTTGGGGGGATTTTCCCCGGGGGGGGGGGGGGGCTTATATTTCTAGGGGTGATTTAACGGAGGGTTTTTTGCATTTGGAGGGGCTTCTACATGGAGAGGCATATTTTTAGAATTTTACAGTATTCCGTTTTCCCTTTTTAGTCTACTTTTATTCCATGTAGTCTGTTTGATGTACAATAAAGTTGTTGTATTTGTTGTCTTGATCTCTTCACCAAGGGAAAACAATATGGCAACTAAAGACTACCAGAGTAATGTCTAAGAGTTTTGCTATGAAAATAAATTACCCATCAACTGAGATCTGATACACTAACTAACCCCACCATTTTATTCCCTTGTGACAGCTTTCTCTGCAGCTATTTTAATGTCACATTGTGGAAGAGCTTTGGAACATACCATATTTCAAAACCAGATTTAACTGAAAGTTTTTAATCTGATGAAACTAAAAATGAGGAAGGAGACTGCTATTGAAGAATTATTCTCTACCAGGATCCTAAGAGGCAGTGGTTTTGATCACTACCTGGAACTAAGTACTTGGGTTTTATCCCACAGTCATGACAAGTTACAAAATAATTTATCTTCCTCTAGCCTAGACTCGATTACCAGGCGCGGTTCGGGAAAATGAGCCCGCACTCATCCCCCTCCCCCCGAAAGAGCGGCTGGACGCGTGCAATTTCCTTTGTTGGTTTAAGCCAATCATGTTACCACCTGGAGATTTTCGTCTGGCAAAGATTGTCGCAGAAATTATCACATCAAAACCGAAAGTCCTTTCTTGTTCCATCGGAGGGCGAAGCGATGTCGACGGTGCGGAGACATTTTTTGCAAAATTCTAAAATCCGAAGGAACACAACGTTTTGTTCGATTGTTTGTTGTGAACTTTTCTTTTAATGATTGTTGTTGGAGAGATTTTGCATCTTCAAGTGTCTTTTCAAGGCGCTTTAGGTCTTGATAACTGTGTTCGTTACAGATGTAACCGTCCACGTTTATATTTGACAGAGGAACATTCAATACGCTGGAAATTCTGTCTGGTAAATCAGAAACTTTTCCATTTAATTTAATCCGCTTCCGAGAATCAGTCAGTTTGGACCCACAGAAGACGAAATCCAACATTCAAAGATCAAAGAAAATTAACTGCATGTCGGAGTGTATAGAAATGTACTGAGAATATTTTTCACAAATGTATGGAAATGAGCCGAAAAACTATTTTGAAAGTTATTTGGGCAGGCAAGGGAGCGCTTGATGCAATTTTGAGCCAAATAAATAAGAAAATTGGAGACGCCTAAATTATCAATTTTCCAATCACGTCACAGACAAGATCAACGGGTCACGTGTCCAGCCGTCTCTCTTTGGGGAGGATCAAAGACCGGACCCGGGAGACGGCGGAAATCGAGCCTACCTCAAGCCACAAGTCACAATAATTTAAACAGTATTATAATTTAGCTTACCCTACTCTTCTGTTTGGGTATTTCTGGTGCCAGCAACATGGAACACTCACTTGCTGAACCTATCATCCCTCCCTGTGACATTGCAACATTATTAACAGTTGAGTTTGAATCTGCATTCACACTGTCCTCTGTGCTTACATTCTGTTCAGGTTTAAACAACCAGCCTTCAACAATCTCAATTACTGGAAAGATCTGGAGCGGGTATGTCAAAAGAATTGCAAAACACAACAAACATCGCACTATGAGTATTAATACTCCTTGTGGAAAGCTTTCTGTCACAATCTGTTCCACTGCTTCACCATAAACAGCGTATCCAAGCAAACCAAATAATGCTAAAATCATAGACAAGCCTCCAATTGCAAAATGAAGATACAAGGGAAATCTGTGCCTGTTTTCTGCCATGCTTGTTTCTATGGAAATTATCTGTGCAATAAGAAAAATGAACTATTAGAAATAATAATGATTTTTACGCTTAAATAGATAAAGCCACTCCGAAAGGGGTTAATAAATTTATAATGTCATTTTGTTCCAGGTCATTTCAATTGAACAGGCATTTCAGTGTCAATACCTGATGAACCATAAATAATTTATTACAAATTTCAAGAGACTGGTATTGCACTTACAGTTCCTATTCCTTCATAAGCACTAGTTACTTGGCCAAAAAACACCGGAAAGGTAGCCCAGTGCACCAGTCGCAACTCACTAAATTTAAATTTCAAACCTGTGGAAAAAAATTTAAAGAAACATGAGGAATAAAATACAATGTAAAGAGCAAAGCAGAAATAGGTTGTGGCAAAACTAAAGGAAAAAGGACTTGTCGATGATCACTGTTATCATGTAGGATATGTTGTGACTCAGTTTCACTCTAGGTTTAAATAATTATACTTTCTTTTCTTTCAAATAGACGACATGCATACACTATTTTACAAACCCAAAAACAAGCAAAAATAAAATTTAAACTAAGCATTAGGATAAAATTCAACTACAACAGACATATACCTGCCAACTTTTTCTGAGATATAAGCGTGAGATTTTTATCCTGGGAGTGCTGGGATTTTTGAAGACGACACGATCATTTCCGAAGATTCCCGAAGAAGTTTGAAGTCGTCCAAAGAAGTCCAAAGTCTTCCGAAGACGTCCGAAGTCTGCCGAAGGTGAAGTTATCGAGAAAACGCTTTTCCACAAAATCAGAGATCGCGAGAAAGGTATTGTGTAAATAAGTAAAATGTGTACCAAAAGCAAGGAATGTACCCAGACTCAATTGTATAAAAACCTTTAACACAGTTCGTTCTGCCGTTGTTGAGTGTAAAAAGTTAGTCCGCACTCTTTAACGCCCGCAAGCATGAGCCGGCGTGAGATCGAAGTTTTCAACCCGCAGGCGTGAGAGTTGGCAGGTATACAGACACACCATCATAAGTGAGATTGCTGGAGATATTGTCTCTTGCTTTTGAATTTCTACACCATGTAAATTAAGTCATACATTGAGTTAATAGGGAAAAAAAGTTTTGGTTATCAGAACAGACCTACTTGTATCCCAGACAAACAATAATCATGATAATTTTCTGATTTTTAGAAGAGAAAGTTATTAATGAGGGTGTAATTTACTGTCTAAAATAACCATATTTCACATTATTACTTCTTGGGAAAAGATATATAGCTCTACTTTCATTTTGAAAGATCTTAACCCATAATTTAGACCCATTATTAAGACACTCCCTATGGATATTGCATCCATTTTAATCAATAATGCTCTTATGTTTTATGCGAGTTATTAACTTACAGTGTACGTACCACTTAACATGTATCCAACAACAGACAGAAATGCCATTAAGAGCGCAATATTGGCTGCAAAACTGACTGGACCAAGCCTTCGCACCCCTCGTATGTATGAAAACAATATCAGTGGAACCAATGGTAGCAGAATGAGAACAGCAAATGGTGGGGTGTGGTCGTGATCAGCAAAAAAGGTCTTTTGAACGTGACTGTTTGTGGGTGATGTAATATTAGTAACATTGATATTTGAAACATTGTGAATTGGTAGCGGTGTTGCTGTTGTTACAGCATGAGTTTTGGATGGTGTAGGAAACATTGATGAGATGGTTTGACCCAAAAATATGAAATATCCAACACAGAAGCCATACTGGGTGGCTATAAGAGCTCCATTGACAAGCAAAACACCCCATTTGCCAAGTGCAATCCTTCCTATTTCTCCAAAAAGCATTCGCTTTTCCACAGTGTTTCTCAAAGAAGCAATGTTTGAATCCTGTGATTCCACATCCTTGGACTGAGGAACTGTGTCCAAGACCTGCTGGACAGCAGCTTTTTTACACTTGATGATTAACTGACAGCAGTGATCTGTGATGAATGCAATTACAAGAACTCCAATCAATCCCAGCTGAAACCAAAATGTATAAGAAATAAAACACATTAATTTGATATCACAATAATAATAACAATAATATTATAAATTATACAGCATGTGTCACCTCTGGTGCATGACAGTCATTTCACTGTCTTGTGATCAGTTGAGCCACTTACAGTTCATTTTAGCCCACAGAACTAATCTGGAGTTGTGACATGCAATTGAGATCTCATGTTCAACTTTTTTAGGTATCATTATTTAAAGGAATTTCCCACAGCAATATCACTTGAAGAGATTTGTTGCAAACAGAAAGTTGATTCCCCTAGAGAATTAGTAGCCGATACCCATACATATAGGTAAAATAATTATATTAACTACTGCATTTCATACATTTGTGACTGAAATGAACAGTCAGTCTAATTGATACAAGGTTAAACTGAATCTACACCTTTATCCACTACATCTCACTTACCACTACTCCACTTTCTTTAAAAGCAAATGGTAAACCAATCCAGTTAGTTCCAAGAAAAGCCTTGAAAACATTCGCAAAATCTGCTATTTGTCTGAAAACTGATGGCCTGCAAAAAGACGTAAAGAAATATGAGTAATGTTTACTCTAGAGTACATGGCACTGAAAAATGTCTGAGGCATCTCATTGTTTAGTGGTGTGGAGATAATATCTTTAAAAAAAGAGATTTTAAATTGCAGTATAGTTGGTTAAATAGACTTATGAGAGAAAAGTGTGTAAGAACTGTCATCAAAAGTTCAGTTACTCAAATGACAATAATTATTTTAAAAGTAAAATAGTATTGATAATGCAGCAGTTTACTGTAGCAGTTAACTATAAAGGATCAAAAAGAAGATAAACTACAGGTACATTTAATTTCAATGAGCTAAACATATAAAGCTAAAATTGCTATTCCAGTTAACAGTCAGCTGCAAATAATCCTAATAATACATACAAAGTCAAAGGAAGTAACTACGAAAATCAGCATAACAATCATACAATCAATGAAAATAAAGGGCAAAAGAAAAACTATATATTAATTCCAACTAAGTGGCACAAAAGTGTTCATGAAATGTTAATGACTCACTACATTTCAGAAGGGGACCCATGGTCAGTTCCTGGAATAAACCCTGTGTGTCATTAAAGGAAACAACATCTTAACTTTGTACAAAACTAGGATAAAAATTATTAACATACAAAGCATGGATATCAATATGACATGGTTCACAGACATTAAAACATTTTTCATTGACAGAGGAACTTCTGCATCTTTCAAATGTATGTGAATATTATTGCTAACTACATTTTTCTTCTTTAATGTTTACTTATACAATCCCACTGTTAGAAGGTTAGAGGCCCTGCCAAGGGGAGGGTCCCATGTTGCCTGTCTGAAATTTAAAACGTCTCGTGTCGGTGTTTATAAATGCTTGTCGCTTATTGTCAGCTTTGCCGTCACTGTCATAAGTGGCCGAGGGATGTTGTCTCTTGTCGCGATTTCATTTTATGCGCTGTCGCTACTTTTTGGGACATGTCGCCTGTTGGAATTTACCCTGCCAGGGCCTCAGGTTAGTCTGAACTCACCTGGAGAAAAAAAACTAAACTTATCTTATTTTAGAGAGGGTGCACCTGCACATCAAGTACATTTTATTAGGGATGCTCAGCTGGGTTTTGAGGTTATGAGCCTGAAGTGCGAGACATGCAGGAGGAAGGAAAAGAGTGAAAAAAAATGCCAGAAATGCCAGGTCATGTTCTTTTTATTCCAAAAAATCAGCAGGTGAACATAAGTTTCTATTGCTGATTTGTTCAAGCCACAAACACCTTATAGAGTCCAGTTGAAACAAATGAGATATTGCAAGTTTTTTTTAGATGCGCATGCCTCACTTCAACTGATGGGAACTCTATGTTATGTACACACATTTGGCAATGCACAGTGGCAAGAATGTTTGCCACAAATTTAAACCCCATCTTAATTGGTCATCCATTGCAGAAAGTGTGTATAAAGCTGAAGAATTAGAACAATAACCTGTCTACAGCAATTCTTTTTCTCTTTTTCTTCCTGTCTTGCATCTTGCGCTTTGCACTTGCACCCAAATACCCACCTGAGCTTCCCAATAATGCCTGTTGAGCAGGTTAGGGAGGGTGACACTCAACCTATATATATTAGGGAGCTTAAGCAACAACGTAACGACCCCAGCGGTGACAGCAATGAGAACAGCAAAAAAGTAATAGGTTTAAAGGGACACAGTCAGCTGATGCACATGCGCATTACATACCATTTCTTAGCTGATTTGTATCCCATAAGACACGCGTGAAACAGAAAGTGCGAAGTGTATCCGGTATACTCTAAACAAACCTTGTAGAGTTGAACTAGTTACAAGCCAAAATCATGATTATAGACCCCAAGCCATATCAGAGCACTCATGTTTTTTTATAAACCATTGAGAATTCACCGATGGATTTTTTTTAAGGGAAGGTCAAACATCGACGGACACTTCTGAATTCAGACATCAGTAGAGGTGAAAAATTGCACGAAGTTTGAATCATTGTCAAAAGTTCAAGGTCAAGAAAGCTTGATTTTCCAAATATATTTAACCTTTTCAACCTATTTTCCAAATATATATAATGATTATTTCCTCGCCAATGTTACTGATTCATTCCTCTTGTTACTTTGGTAAATGAAGGTGATTTCTCCCGCCCGGCACCTACGTGTTTCTCACCTCTTCTGTTTATATTCCTGTGAACACTGTTTTTAACCAAATATGATAAAATAATGTAATAGGATGAGTAAAAGATTGCTCAGAGGTTTTCAGTAAAAGATCAAGGATCGAATGAAACACTAGGCAGGATTGAAGCGGATTTCTAGATGTATCTGACACGTAGATTTGATTTCAGGCTGAGGTAAACGATTTTCAAACTGGCAAAAGTAGTGTCCAGGTCAGCGTGGTCCCGTAGCTGACTGTGACCCTTTAAATTGGCAAAACAACAACTTTGCACGTGCATCACGCTTTTTTCTACATTTCTTTGCTGTCGTTGCATGACTATGTCTATTACGTGAAACGGCCTAATTTCACATTAAATTATTTTTGTGGAGGACATGAACACAAAACAATCACCTTCTTTTTTTCTAAACTTTGATACAGTCCTTAAGAATTCAACTCCAGAAAAATTCCCCGTTTGACAAATTGAATGAGATTGAGTACGCACAATTAAGTTTGAAGCAGCACGAATACACTTTTTAACTGACGTTTTCATAGCATTCGCCGTCATTGTTGTTTAAGCTCCCTAATATGGTGTCAAAACCCACTTGAACACGGGCCACATTGGTAAGATGGATGCTACCCCCTTGTAAACACAACGCTGTCATAAACGACAGGTATTTATCCTTGTTATAAGTACTCGCCAATGCATGTCAGTTTTTTGTGTCACTGTGCACTAATACTAGATAAAAAAATAATTATGTCTGCATAGCCAACTCTTACACTTCTTTCATGCTTAGCAACCTCCCTTGTGCAACTACAATTCAATAGTACACACTGAGCCGTTTACCAGTTGTTATTTAGATATCTGTGTCCTAACTACAGAATTAGAAACTTTATGAATTCACAACACATGAAGATACAAATCCCTATAGACCTGTCAAAAAGATGCTACAGGGTGACGTGTTGTCTTTTTGCACTTTTTATATTATTGGCAGCATAAAGTAAAACTTTGTGATCCTCATACGTTTGCACTGTGATGAAAAAATAACAATGCTTGCAGACCATCCCAGATGCAGGGGTGGTAATTCCTAGGAAATTGTGGTTCTAGGAAACTTACATCAGATCATATGTGAAATAATAATAATAATAATAATAATAATAATAATAATAATAACCTTTACTTCTTAAGATAAAATTACATATCCTAAGTTACAATATAAACTCAAAAAACTATTGACATATCATATCTAAAAACTATTCTGTTACTAAAAACATTCTTAAACCTGTCAGTGTAGATTCTAGGGACAGAGACTGACGTATTTCTAAGATTGTACCTTGTGTTCGTTTCCCTAGGTAAAAACTGGAAGAACGGACATTCGGGGTCATTCGATCTTTTTTTTGTAGAGTGTCTTGTCCACCTTCTCTAGCAAGTCCCTGATATTTACATTCTTGGACATAAACTTTCTTTTCATACACCGGTCTAAAAAATTCTGTATTACAGAAAGGTCGGAATCTGAGGCACCATAAACCAGCAGAGCGTAAGAAAAATTTGGTAAAACTATTGCATTAAAAAGGTGATCTACTTCCTCCTGGGACATTCCTTCCTTACGTAAAGATCCTAATACGAATAATGACTTGCTCGCCTTAATTACCTTCGCGCGCACGTGACTGCTGTATGTGGGAACAGGGAGACCCATGCATTTTAATTAGTGTTAAGTAACAAAGTCTCCTTTTAGTAGGTTTGCTGTTACATCCATTGTGGATTTTAAACAGCCGTAGTGTTGGAAGAAGGTTTCCATGAATCTCAGTTTTAAACATATTTCCCCATCCCAGGTTGTTTATAAGTGTCACCCCATTACTAACAATCTTGCGGTCAATATGCAAATAAAACTGGGTAAAAAATATTTCCAGAATCTTGTCAGAACATCCACCCTCTTTTGGGTGTAAGCTGTATTTACTTCTTAATAAGTTTCTTTACGCTTCTTATATTCAAGCTTATTAATATGCTGAAAAAATAAGCTTAGGCTAAAAAAAAAAGAAACGGTATAAGCTTAACTGTTCGGTAACTTTATCAAGATCCCCTTCAGTACAAGCATAACAAATGACCATCAAGCTAAAAATCAGGGAACCAGGAACGTGGATAAAAATAAATTCGGCTTTAAGTCACCACCGTTAAATAAAAAACTAAAAGCATGAGAAAGATTCGGCTGTCATAAGCTCTCTGACGCACATAACTAAACTTTTCCAGTCATTTGGAAAAAAAACGCAACAACAGTGCAAATAAATAAGCAGATCTAAGCACGGAAGATAGCCCTGAAAACAAAATGGTTGAACTACAACGATTACAATTATCAGAGCATTCGATTCGCCGTAAGACAGGTAAGCTTAAATCTATCGAAGATCTACAACATCTGGAATGACAACATAAACATTCGGTTTCGAAAATTTTTACAGACCCACCTAATAAGCGGAACACCAGATGTACTCGCTGCGAGCGATTTGTATCCTATTCCAGTCATATTTTACAAGTGCCCTGCTACAATTCTTTTCAAGATCCGTGTTTAATGAAATTTAAGTGACCTCTGTTTGATAAAGGAACGTCTACAAGTCAAATCCTGTCGCAATGAGTTTTCCCAGTAAAATTACTCCCATCGGATTTATAGCAAGCGCCAAGACTCATCATGAAGTCGAGGCCCAGTAAAATCACGAGAGCAATGTGTGCGTGTACACCGGATGTCACCTCTGACACCGGAAATTGGCACCAAACTAAAGATAACCAAAGATAGATATTTCTGGCACATTCCTGATTCATGAAATAAATATTCAAGCGATATACGATTTGTTTTATTCGTGCATGAAATATGATAGAAAACGTCAATTTTTTTCATTTACCTTGTATTCAATGGAAAGGGTTGACACGTTGTCTAATTACAAAGATTATTTTTCGCGTGATTTCGTGACCTACTACTTAGTCTATTAAAATAACACGTGAGAATTTTTGCGTAGTGATTAATTATGTCCGTGCAAGTTGTCTCGCAATAATTCTAACAGTTATTGTTGGTTTTCTTTGTGCCCAAGTCTCTTCTGAGAATTACGAGACAATGAAATCGCGAAAAATTTGCAATTTTGTCTGTAAACTGGGAGTCATGTTAGAATTTTATCAAAATGTGGGCTATTTTGCCAAGAAACCATCTGCTGTCAAAGCTAACATCTAAGACAACGCCAGGTTAACGCCCACCATATTTGATGTATGTGGTGGGGGGGGAGGGGTGGGGGAGGGAAGTGCAGTTAATTATGCTCTAGGAAGGCGAAATTAAGGGGGCATTAAGCATTATTACTTCGGCGGAGCGCGAAGTAAAGGATTCGCGACGCTCAGGAATGTATCAAAGTTGCAATTTTTTGACAAGATTGGGTAAGCAAAGTCTGTAGGTTTTCGGCTCTATTCGGCTATTTGACGAAGTGAGAGCCGAATTAGTTCGAGATATCTCTAGATCACTTCGATTTCTTTGATTTATTGTTTAACTTTTTCGAGGAAGAAAGAATTACTATTTTGGCCTTCCCGGGGTTTGAACCGACTCACCTGTGTGACCCGTCAGATCAGAGGAGACTCCAAGTTGAGGGATTAGCCGATTGCGCAACTACGACACAAGGTAGTTTGGCATGTGAAAAATAGTTATGAAATTATGCACTAGTTTCGGGACAAGATTGGGCGTGCTAGTTCGTGACTTTTCGGCTTGTTTCAACTATTTCACGAAATGAGACCGGACTATTTCGTGATATCTTGAGATCACTTCGAGTTTAGTCTTAAATTACTCGAGGAATAAATAGAGGATATTTCGTGGCCGCGCAGAGACACGAAATTTCTCTTCGAGTTTGAAAACATTTCACGAGTGAGCCCTCCTTTCGAACTGTTTTATGATGAATTTAAAGTTACAAAATGCTGCACAAAGACATTTTGTCTTTGTTGAGTGTTACGTAATATAATTGCTTTCATGCGTTGCGTGACTTTCTCGAACGTTCTCTACGTTTTTTGATTAGCATGAATAATTAATTAGGGCGTGTTTACATTTCAGCATGAGTCAGCAGATTTGCATCAGTTACTGAAATCATAAAATATGTCGAAAAGGTACTACTATTCGCCTGTTTTAGTATTTTCTTGAACCTTATGTCAAACGGTATACAAGTTCCAAGCGAGTTCTGTAGCGTCCACTCATAGCTACTTGAAACTGTACTTTAATCAGTTGTTCACTTGCTAGTTCGTTTCTAATCTGCACATAACTTGTATTCATTCCATTCACAAAATGCACGTGAAAGAGAAAGATTCGCTGAAATAACAACAACGCGACTATTACAAAGATGATATTGACCGAATAACCGAAAATACTGCATACTTACAAGTTATTGTGCCTTCTTAATGGAAAGGAAAACTTGTCCTAACGAAACGACAGTATAACTCCATAACAAAACATGTGCTTTTTCGTGGGAAAGAGCGCCCGCGATATTTTGTGTGAGGTCACCGAAGACCACACCATATAACGTTTATTTTCTGTCTCTTACA